GCCATCTGAATGCTGTCATTATCTTGTCACACCATTGACACTGATCTCTGCAAACCCTAATCAACAATTGGCTTCTCTTTGTGGTTGCATTATTGTTCTAACATTTTTACATAGAATATGAGATGTTTCATTCTTAGAATCAAAGTTCTGACATATTGTTCTTAATCTTTTTATTTTTCTTACAGACCAGGAAGAACACATCCATGGAGTCGATTGACTCTTCTAGGGAAGAAGAGTATGTTATCCCACCTTTAACAACTTAACATCTTTCTATTTACAGCTAAAAAAATTCTTATCTCTGCAATAATTCTTACCTTGGCTTGAAAATGAATGGCAACTTCTTGCTTATTTGGCTAGAAAGAGGTAATCATTTCACAAAGTTTTGGAAGGTCCTTATCATGCATATGATAGTGCATTGAAACTTGAAGTTTTTTGTTTATTGTCTTGTATTCTCTCATGCTCATGGAGTTGTATCACATGGTCATTCATTGAAGTGTTTCTGACTAGACTCTTGGCTCTTAATATTAGATGTGACAGTACTGAGAAAATGGTCACACCCTGTAGGAGTTATATGATGTATCAAGAAAAAAAATGGTATTTTAAAAATTTAAAATCAATTCATATCCTTACATTTCCTATGAAACGTTTTTGTTTCAATGGGTTCTTATATGAACCATTACGCTTTCATTAAAACATTTTCTCTTTCTCTTGTTTTATTTCATATTTGAGCAAGCTTACACAGAAAGCTACAGATTGGGTTTAAGGATGCACCTATTTTATCCATTTCTTTATTACCATCAATGATCTCCCTTTTACATTTTGGAAATTTACTTTGTCTACAATTATAGGTACCGGGCCAATCATGATAGGATCCGTTCCACACACATATAGGGGGTATGTGTGTGTGTTTGTCATGCATATCATTCTGACTGACGTGGCATATATTGATATATATCATGGTCATATCCATTATCTGATTCCTGTACATATATAATTGGGAATGAAACCTTTGAGCCTAACAAGAAAATAGCACCTACATCACATCCCACAAACGTTTTATTTTTATAATATATGAAATGAATTTCTGAATTACTCTGAATTCATGTATCCACTACACCTACACCTACACATCCCACAAGAGAGTAGCACCTTTCAGTACCATGTATCCCACTGCTTAATCATTCTGAATTTCTCTAAGAATTAGAAGAAAAAAACTAATTATGTATGTGTGGGGACTAATGCCATATGGCAGCAGCCTCGACCATCACTCAAGTGTGTAGTGGGATTAATGTCTCTTCATACAATAGGTGAATTGATTAGTTGCAGCAGTAAAGCAACTTTAAATGCTCTGCTACCATGTTCTCTAGAGATTGGTCAATTACCCATCCGGGCCATCTCTGCTTCCAAAAGAATTATGATGAAATAATATGTTAATGTTAACATCTGAGCAAGGTACCTTGGATGTTAAGATTTCTGGTAAGGGAAACAAGGAAAGTGTCTGCTAACCTGAACTGCTTGTTTTTGGTGGAGCCCAGGATCAACAAATGCTTTGGCTTACAATTTGGCTAAGGCTRGAGTAAATAGGGGCAATATGAATGTAGTAATCCAGGGCTGGATGGGACAATGTGATAACCATTTTGAATCTCCCAATTTTATTTTATAGTCTCATTCTAGTGTACTGCATTCTTCTCCAATTTTTTTAAATCTTATACATATCTGAATTCCATAATCCAAAACCACAACACATTTTTTATTTTGTAGTTTGCTAAATTCCATAATCTTATGATGATGACTTAAAAGAAGGGTTATTAGGTGAAACTCCCCTTCACTTTTTTGAAATTCTCTTGGTACAAGGACTATCTTACTAGAGGTGTGGTTTTTAATGGCAAAAGTTTGGCATAGGGTTACTATCTCACTAGAAGTGTCCAAAAGTCAGGGTAAACCCAAGAGAAAGATAGAAAAGTGAAGAGTGATTTCAAATAATAACCCAAATAAGTAATACAATCTCTTTAATTAATCGAATTAGTTAATTGTTCAGGGTATCAGACTCCTAAGTTTGCATATTCCATATATTTGTGATGAGCATTAATTAATCATACACGTAATCATGTTCTTTGTAGAGGTCAGATAGATCTATTTGCTTATAGGTATTTACATTGTTTGAGCATAAAGCTTAGTGCATGATACAACCCAGAGGCTGTGGAATTAGGAAATTTAAATTATTCATTTGAAACATGAATCTCCAATCGATCTTTAATCCTAAAAAATACTTTGATGATAATTATATTTAAGGAACTGTCATACAATCTGTCTTCATGCGGGAACTGTACTCAAAATTGGAGATCCTAAGAGAGATAAGGCATAATCAATTTGTTTGGTTGGGCTTAATTAAAATATCAATCTATTGCCTTTAAGTTTCTACAATATTGTATTTCATTTAGGCAGCATTTGGATTGTGGGAGTAGATTTGAAATTAGGCTACACCTCTATTCTTCGAAAGAAATTGAATTATGGTAAAATACAGAATTTGCAAGGTTTTTCTTCCATATGCTTCCAAATTCCACATTGCTGAAAAAGCGGAATTTGAAACCACCTTCATCTAATAATCATTACCCTAGTGTGTTGGGCTCTCTAAAGTGCATATAATAAATCAAAGATGTATTGACATGACAAATAAGCATGTGTATATATGGCTCAGTTTGGAGTGCAAAGCCTTATATTTTACATGTGGTTTGAAGATTTCCCATGCATGGCTAAAAAGGGCTGTGAGAATAGTGTGAGCATAGATTCATAAAAAAAAAGGTGTGAGAACAGTTTTGTGAGGACTGAATCCGCTCACCTTTGGTGGTGTTTGCCCTTCTTAGTGGTTTGAAGATTTATAATTAGGTAAAGAACTCGCATCAACTGAATTTTGAACTACTATTGATATTCCAATTAATTGCTTAGAATTCAGCCCATGTAAATTTTAGTTACTAGTTCTATCTTTATAGTTAAAATATTTGAAAATAATTCTAATATTTATATGTTTTGATTTGCAGGTTCAACCAATATGTTAAGTGGATTTGCATTGGAAGATGCTGTATTATTAGAGAATTTGATTTTTTTTCAAGTTCTTGTACTAGTTATATGTCAATTGGATATTGTATTTGAATAATGTCTTTTGGATATTTTAATATATAATCTTTGAATAGATTTCATTTTAAATTGATTTTTATCAAATGGTTTTGTTGTATTAAACAAATGCTAAATCAATAAACAATTCAAGTACCACAAAAATCTTGCAATTAAGTGGGTATATGATTTTTTTTTGAAAAAAATAGGTTTATGTCRGTGGTCATGTCTGCCGGCTTAGCTATCAACCTGGTATAAATAAAAATGAAAAAAATCTAAGCCGACAGCCATGCAACCACTAGTTTAGCCGCAAACACACCTAAGCTGGCGGTCATTCAACACCTAAGCCAGCGGTTCGGACCACCACCTAAGAACGAGAGGGAGTTTGATAGAAAGCTAAGGTGGCGGCCTTTTAGGACCTAAGCCAGCGGTCATAACCGTTGCCTTATTAAAGCTAACCTGGCAGCTCCAATAGACCATCGCTTTAGAGCAACTTGAACCGCCTTCGCCCAGCCATAAAAGGTGGCGGTCATTTTAGCCTAAGCCGGCGGTCCTGATCTAAGGCGGTGGACGCATGACCATTGCCTTAGACCTAAGCTGACGGTCTTAAGGCCTAAGCCAGCGGTCACCGCCGGCTTTGACCTTTTTTCTTGTAGTGTATAGATATCTCAAAGCCTTGTCAAAGTTATCAGTGATAAGACCTTAAACCAATTACTTTCAAAACAGACTGGAGATACTCATACACACAAAATGTCTAGTCTCTACAAGAGTTTCAAGTTTTTCTTAGCACTGTTATGGCCATGTGCTTCTTTTCTGGTTTCATGAACAATCCCAAGAGCAAATCCAAACTCTCATGAGAAGTAGCACCACTTTTATGTTCACATAGGTGAAGTTCCACTATGTGTTCCGTTATTTGACACATTTCAGAACTTCATTAAGAGTTTAACTCAACCTCTCATCATAACGGACAACACTGTTTATATTGTGATGAAAAATTTCTCAATGTTAGTGCTAACAGACACATTGTTGTAACTTATTGTTACCCATTAAACACAATACTGATGGTTTTTTAGTTCAGGTTGGGTTGCAATTATAGGTGACTATGTAAAGGGTTTTAATCACATCTCTTTGGTTGTCGTTTTTACCAATTCTCTAGCCAAACCCTTGGTAAGAGGATCAATCAAGTTTTTACTTGACCTCACATAAGTGATAGTGATGATTCCATCTTGAATCAGTTGCCTAACAAATTCATGTCTCAGACTTGTATGTTTGGACTTACCATTGTAGGTACCAGTATAGGCTCATGACAAAGTCGCCTCACTGTCGCAGTAAATGTTAATTGGAGGCATAGGACTAAGCCAAAGTTTAATATCCAATACGAAATTCCTAATCCATTCAGCATCTTTTCCAGCAACTACCAAGACTATGAATTTGGATTTCATGGTCAATTGAGATATACAAGTTTGTCTCTTTGGTACCCAAGAGATCGCACCCCCACCAAGGACGAAAATCCATCTAGATGTGGACTTGTTATTTCTATTACTAGTAATCCAACTTGCATCAGTGTGCCCTTCTAATACAATTGGATAATCATAGTAGAACAATCCAAGTTTCAAAGTTCTTTTGAAATACCCAAGAACTCTCCCAATTTCCTTCCAATGCTTTGTAACGAGATTACTTGTAAACCAACTAAGTTTACTTATTGCAATTGCAATATCAGGTCTACTACAAAGCATTCCATACATCAGACTTCCTACAAAACTAGCATACTCAACTTGTGCAATTGCTCTACTAGAATTTTCTACTATCTTTGTACTAAAATCATATGGTGTGCTATATTCTTTAAATCCTAAATGCTTAAATTTCTCAACTATTCTCTCAATATAATGTGATTGGCTTAATGCATAACCCCTACTATGTTTTTTAACTTTTATTCCCAATATGGAATCTATTTCTCCTAAATCTTTCATCTTGAAGACAGAGGATAAGTAGTTTTTAGTTTCATTTATGTCAACCATATTAGTACCCATAATAAGCGTATTATCAACATAAAGACATACAATTACACCATAATTTTCGATAAATTTTGAGTAAATTCATCTATTAGAACTATTGTGTTTAAAACCAAAAGCTAGAATGCAAGAATCAAATTTCTCATGCCATTGTTTGGGTGCTTGTTTTAAACCATATAGTGATTTAACCAGTTTATAGACTTTTTTCTCATTTTCAAGAAGAACAAATCCTTCTGGTTGTTTCATATAAACCTCTTCATTTAAATCACCATTTAAGAAAACAGTTTTAACATCCATTTGATACATAGATAAGTGATAAATTGATGTTAGTGCTACGAGTGTTCTAATAGAAGTTGTTCTACCCACTGGTGCATAGTTGTGAAAGTAATCAATCCGTTCCTTTTGACTGAATCGTTTGGCTACCAATCTAGCCTTAAAAGTTTGTACAATTCCATTAGTGTTGTATTTTCTTCTAAACACCCATTTACATTTGATTGGTTTTGATCCTAGAGGCAAGTCTACTAGTACCCATGTGTTATTTGACATTATTGAATCCATTTTATCATTTATAGCTTCCTTCCAAAAGGCAACATCTCTAGAGGCCATGGCCTTATTGTAGGTTTTTGGATCATTTTTAATGTTCAAGACAATGAGTATCTTATTTAAAATCTTTTCTCTATCAGCCTTGACCAAAAATACAATTGATTGAGTATAGATAAAATCAGAACCTAAGTGTTTCTTTGTTCTTTGTCTGACTCTTCTAAGTTCTACTA